TTTTGATGAGATTGATGATGTGAATGATTTGACTTACTTAAGAATAGATGGTTTAGACATAGTTTTTTATTAATGGGCCATTCTCCTTTAATTGATGGAGGAGTATTAATAAATTGATAAAGATGTAAATCCCTTGTACATGAGTTTGACACCCATTTGGTGCCATTATTAATACTATATATTACACTTTATATTTAAAAAAAAACTAACTTCTTTTCTTTTTTCTAGGGTTCTTCTTCAAGTTAGCTTGTTGCCATTGTGTGACACCCAATACGAAGATTTTGGTTGAAAACCAAACTTGATTCAACTTACTAATCAAATATATTCATAATGTTATGGATTGGAACCCCTCCTTGAAGGTGATGTTATTGATGGCTCTACTGGTAACGAGCATCTTCCTACAAATCATTTTCCTTGATTATCAATAAAGCTTGGATAGATTCCTTAGGAATAGGTTCATCTACTTTCCTCATGAACTCGTCTGTCTTGTCAAGGTCAAGCCTAGGGATGTGCGAGATTGGTAATTGGATGGTAGGAACCACCCATTATTGTATGTTTCGTATGGGTGGTAGGTGGGTAGCTGATATAATACTTGTTAGGCATTCCTTTAGGAGACATGCTAGGTAATTCTCACTTCACATCATTGAATTCATTTGTGGATTGAATTGACTTCAAAGCAAAATTAGACTTAAGGTCAAATTCATATGGAGACTTGGGCTCAAGAAGTTCTAAAGACATCAAATTAGAAATTTTATTAATCTCTTGAGCATTATTAGACTAAGTTTAAACATCAATAAATGGAACTAGAGATCTAGGCTTGAGAGGGTTAGAGAACAACACATTAGGGTATCGAGCACTATCACACTTATATTCAAGATAGTTCAAGGATTTGAGTTCAAAAGAGTCTAGAGGATTAGAATAAGGAGAAACCTCTTTAGTATTCAATTTAGCATGATACTTACCCTCCCTTTCCTTTCTTATGATCATTTGACTGAAAAACAAGGGTATCTCATGCTGGTAAGCTGGTAACTTGAGGAACAATCAGACTCTTGGTCATAATTAATATGTCGTAAGGTTTAACAATTTATTTATCCATTATGTTTAATCATATAATTTAGTCTTTCATTTATCTAAAAAAAAAGATAATTTAGTCTTTCATAGACTATCGCACCAAGGTCATTGAACCAAGGGTGACCAAGAACAAAACAAGTATTTTCCATTGTAAAAAAATCACATTCCAAATGACCCTTATAAATTCTTACCTCAACGGGAACATTACAACTACGATTGAGTATAAATGGATTGTTTTGTTTTGGTTCACACCATACCTGAATGAAACACTAAACTTGGTTGTTCAAACCAAACCAAACCATTTTATGATAAATGCCAATAGACCAAATAATTCAATTTGGTTCAGTTTAGTTTGGTGTAAACTGATTCTTTTAAATATATTTTTGAAAATTCTACAACTATGGAAAAAGTTCATCTTTACATATTTACAAGTGTTTGCTGAACTGGAAATATAGAAGCAACAGGATTGAGATTCTTAGAAGACACAGAGAACCTAGTAGTAGTCCATAAGAAATTCCAAAAAGACAAAAATACTAGTAAAACATGACCAAAATGCTTAATAGTAACTTACTAAATCTAAAATACCAACTTATAACAAGACCAAAGAAATTTAAAACGTGATAATACCCAACAAAGTGTAGAGCCACTAAAAAAGGTCACAGACAACACTCGATGATTAGTTCCAAGAGAAAACAAAAATAACAGTGAAACATAATAAGAAAAAAAGATCAAAGAAGAACAACAAAAAATGAAAGGACAATAGAAAAAGGAAGGAATTTTAAAATAAAGAGAGCTAGAAGAAGATCCATAAAGTGAGTTACATATAGTATATCTAATATTTTTAGATCTGGTCGAATAGGTCATGAACTTGATTTATTGTAGCGTCATTGTTGGAAAAGGATAATTAGTTTTGTATTGGTATAGAAATGAGGAAGAAAGTTAAATAGAATAAAGAGATAATAGGAAGAGGAAGAAGATATGAGGAAAGAAACTGTAACTTTGGTGGTTTGAAGGTTTCAATGGCAAGAAGAAAGATTGGAAGGTGATGAGATTGAGACTTTTGTAAATGTCTGAGCTTGTGGTTTGGGGGTGAAGAAGAAGAGAAAAAGGCAGA